CAACACTTTGCTTGTCAGTCCCACTAGTGCCACCCCCAGAGGACTCAGGAATACGCATACAAAAACTCAAAGAATTTGACTTTGATGTATAAATGCAAGTAGGTGGAAACAAAACAATATCTGTGCAAAATTATCTTTCTTAGCATTGGTCATGTAACATAGAAACAAAGAAATGCATATGACCTATGTCTCCAAATGACCAAAGTATCCATTGATGCTACGTTAAACACCATTCATTTCTTTTCCTTTATTTTGACCTAAATCAAAGATGTTTAGCTCCTTAAACCACATAAAAGGTGATATTTACCAACATTTTTGTTTATTATTTAACATGTTTGTTTGTTTATTTTCTTTCTGCCTCTACCTGTTCTTCACAACTTTTTTTTGTTTTATCGACTGGACAAAACAAACATATTTCTTTCCTGCACCATCGATGAATGAACGCAAATTTACTCAAGGTCACCACAGAAACTACAATCTGGTCTTTATGTGTACCCCTTCTTACTGTGGTTTGCTTTTTTTGTCGATATTTTTAACGACAATTTGGATTAAATATACACCGAAACTCTTTGAGCTTTTTGCAGCAAAAAGAAAAGATGTGTAGTGATTAAATTTGAAATGGTTTTTTTTTTTCAGACAGAAATAATATTATGGTTAGCCCTAACACTGCAATAAAGTCAAATACTTGTTCCACAAACTAAATTAAAATTTCAAATTTTGCAATAAAATTTGTATTAATAAACATTTCAGAATCATTCCATACTCTTGCACTTATGGCCTTTTTTATAGACTAGGCTTCCAACAAATTTCTAAATATGTCACAACAAATGCGCTGTGATGTTTTTATTTCCTGGGATTTTCCCTAATTGGTTTCTTCTTGTTAGTGGTGCAGGAAGGAGGGCCTGGCAAGGAAAGTCTTCATTCGTTTGGACGGGACATGCAGTCGTTTGGACGGGACATTTTTTATGCACGTAAAAGAACCGTTGTATCACTTGGATGGGACATGCTGGTATGCACACAAAAGAACCCTTGACAGTTGGAATTTGTTAAAAATTAGACAGAAATGCTGTTGTCCGGTAAAGTTTTACTAATAGCAAATTTCATGGTGTATGCTGAAAAGTAGTACGTTATAACCAATTCCATATGAGTGTTATGAAAACTGCGTATGGATATCAGCCCGACCCTACATAATAAGATAGCAGTATAGTGTTTTAAACAGTTTATAAAAATGTCAGCATAGTTGTCATGTTTTAAGAGAGAAATATGTAGAGGAAATGGGCTGGTTGGTGGTTAGTAATTATCTTTCTATTGTCACAGTCAGAAACTCATAATTACAAATATTTCAAACATGATAAATGAATTGCTAGCAGTTAAAAGGTCACTCAACAGTTGATTTACAAGGTCGTTTTTAAAAGGACATTTAGACAAAAAATAGAAATTACCTAAACTTAGGCGTAAACAAAACACATGCAAACTGTTTGCTTACATTTGCTATAAACTTTAGCACTTTGAACACTAGCAGCTAATTTCGCAGGGGAGGTACCTCAGACACTTGCGCAGCCAGTGAGAATACCTGATGCCATGTATAGTACAATAAATTATACTTTGTAATAGTATCTTGGATATTTATTTTCCGATAATTCCATCATCCAATAAAATATTCCACAGATCATTTCAACTATTTTATTATATCTGCTTCAATTCAATTGCGATTTGATAGGACATTTGTTTTCGTCTATTGGATATTAAATAAAATCCCTAACACATCTGTTTTATGTCAAATCTATCAACAATTTCAAGTAAAATTCAGCATAAGACTAAGAGCCAATGATTTTATTTTATCTTTTACATCTTTCAAAAGCACAAATGGCCAGGATAGAGACGCTGGATTTCTTCTCAATACACAACTTAGAGACTAACTTATAGTATTTTTATTTACTATGATCACAGCTAGGAAGAGGGAGATTTTGCCCATACAGCAGTGTCTCACATTTGTCTTCTTTGAGTTTCAAAGTGTGCATGGGTGGCTCTCGTTTCTTTATTCCATCCCAACAACTAGACACCCTTACCTCAGATATCCAAAGATAGGTTGCCAGGCAACGAATAATATGCCCACAGCAGCTATAAGTCATCTGAGCAGTCAATAAGGGGTGTCGAATGAAAACATTTACAACACACTAAATTCTGATTAAGAATAACAACCCATTAAGTAATTATCAGAAATCATTAGAATTTGTTTGGCTTCTAGTTCTGCCACATGTATACGTTTAATATCATGAAATTAGTTGTTCAAGTTATTGGAAATCATTGAAAATCAAGAGGCTTTTTCGTCTCATGACCTTAAACCGTGTGTATATATTTAAAGTCAATCGGATATTAACTTTAGCCTCTAGAGCATCCTTAAGATTTTTCAAAGTGATCAAGGGCATAACTCTGGCAGCAATTATCGGAAATCATTGAAAATCAATAGACCTGTTCGTCTCATGACCTTAACACTGTGTATAAATTTAAAGTTAATTGGATGTTAACTTTAGCCTCTAGAGTGTTCCCAAGATTTTTCATAGCGATCAAGGGCCAAAACTCGGAATTTTTGAAAATCAAAAGGTTTCTTCACCTCATGACCTTAAACACTGTGTATAACTTTACTTTAAAGCCAATCAGATATTAACTTTAGCCTCTAGAGTGACCACAAGATTTTTAGAAGTGATCAAGGGTCATATCGGAAATCATTGAAAACCAAAAGGCTTCTTCGCCTCATGACCATAAACACTGTGTATAACTTTAAAGTCAATCGGATATTAACTTTAGCCTCTAGAGTGTCCACAAGATTTTTAGAAGCGATCAAGAGTCATAACTCTGGAAGAAATTATCAGAAATCGATGCGGCCTCTAGAGCATCCACAAGCAATTGTAGTCACCGGACCAACAGATGGACGGACAGACAAAGGCGATGACAATATACGACAACATTTCAATGTGGGCATATAAAAAGGTAACCAAGAACTTTTGTCTATGCTTTCATGGCTGACATGTATATGATATACAATATTTTGCTATTTACTGACTTTTTTTAAGTACAGATAATTCATAATCTTTGAAGCGTGAAATTTGAAAAAAAAAAAAGCATACAGATCTACATTAGAAAAGAAAAAAATGCATATTTGAATAGGAAATATCTTTAGGATTTTGCCAATAATTTTAGGCACCATGGCTATTTTCCTAAAGATTAAATGAAATAAAAGTATTCCGTACACTACAGATATGTAAAAATATTTTCCGTAGTTAAAAAGTTAAATGGCTTTCAACCAAATGTCCCTTTAAACTATTTAAACAGGGAGTACACAAACACAAAAACAAAACAAAAATGGCAATGAAAAATGGTGTTTTAACAAGAGTTACAATAATAGATAGATATTTAATTTATTCAGCTATTTGACACAATTTATACCAATTACCTGGGCAAATTCCCACACTGAGGGGAGGAAATCTGTGACAACTGTCAACGAATCAGTGTTAAATACCAAATAAATAAATCCACGTCAGATAAACTTGAATTTTTACAAGCACTGCCTTCAAAGTAATTATTTGAATCAAAATTGTGCCATGTTTGCGACCGTCCGGTAATCAAAGGTCAGTTGACATTTACGGTTTTTAAATGTTATCATTTATTCGCTTCACCGACGTAATTATCTACCGCCCTTAAAAAGGGGAATACGATATCAATTCAATTTGGACTTTTTACGTCCAATTCTGATCAAATCCATACTCCGCAAACTGATCATTTCCGAGCACAAGGGTATTGATTGAAGAGTTTTCTCTAATCTTTTTCAACATCTTAGCATCTTTGTTAAAACTCCCGATAGTAAATACCGAGGCGGATGATTACGGTAAAAAGTAATTAGATCTAAGTTTTGCCCGCGACGTTAGAGACATCTTGTGTCTTCAGTGGTAATGGTTTTTCATAAAGGTCCAACGTAACATTCAATCTGTTAAACTGAATAGAAACTGATTAAACAAGACATTTTTTGCACAGGGTATGGTTTTAAAAAAAAATGATTGATTCGTGAGAGCCAGAAATGAGTTGTGCCGTCCACTCTGGAAGAATAGGTTATTTGGGGACAAAGGAAAATATTGTATATACTTTTATTATTTTAAAATCAAATTGTTTCAAATTGCTGTGATCTTGTATCTTCCATTTCGCAAGAATAGGTTATTTTGGGAAAACATCAATTTGTTATCTAAACCAAATTGTTCCAATCAAGAGAGACAGAAATGAGTGGTATCATCCATTTAAAAACAATAGGTTATTTCGGGACTAACATATACATGAAACAATACCCTTTTTTTCTCTTTAAAATTCTGCATTCAAGACAGGTTTGTAGGATATACTAACCTGTAAAAGGCTGTAATAAATAATACAGGATTTTAACTCCATGTAAAAGACTGGATATGATTTGCTTTATGAATCAATCAAAGAATTCCTACAAACCTATTCACATGAGATGAAAAACGAAGATCCTGTGTTCAGGTAAAAGAACCCTTAACAGTTGTAATCAAAAAAAAAATAGGCTGTAGCACTGCTGTCCAATCAAAATTGCCTGTTTCATTATCCCAGTTTGTGCAGAAAATTGGACATTAAACCCCATTTCACTTCCTACAAACCTGTTACTAATACATGTGTAATTAAACCAAAAATATATCAATAAATCAATAAAATTGTAGCAGAATTATTCAATTCTGATAAATGCCACATGCATTAAAGAGATTTTGTTATATTTATCAAGTTATACCATGTTTTGTCAATCAAAATTTTTTTGTGTGAAATAAAAATCAAATTTAAAAGCTAAAAATCCACTTGAAAAGTCCTTGTAACTATTGATGTTACATTCCGATTGTCGGGCATGTTAAATATAACAAACGTGTGCGTTGTTTGACACAGAGTTTGAAAATGCGACATGGACACACATTTCCTCCCCACATAGGATATAATCTACAACTCACCAAATTTGCTACGTAAACAGCTAACAATCCACGCCTGGAAAAGAAACACAGAAAATCACGTCAGAGAGGCAAACATAACGATGTGAGTATTTGTGTACGGTGATGCCTGCATGTTTTACATGCACCTGTGACTAAACTAGACCTAACGAGTAAACGATCCACAGGTTGATTTAACTATCGTGATAAAATATAAAAACATTCCCAAAACAAACATTTCTCACATAATTCTTATTTACAACTAACAAGGAAAAAAAAATCAAAATAAAAAAATATCCTTTATTTCACATTCTAAAATATTGAACCTTATTAAATATTTGGTTTTGGGGTTAAATAAAAAAAAAATTCTCTCAAACAGTAAAATACAAATACTTTATTGTTAAGAGTTAAATAAATTGTTCAATTATTTTTTTTCAAACATTATTGGCCTAAAAAATGTTTTTTGAAACATCAAATATTTTGCGTAAGAGTTAGATAAAATGTTCAAATATTTTGATAAATTTGGTGACAATAAAAAATATTTCTTTGTTTTTTGTTCTAAAACATTGACACATATATTAAATATTTATCTTTAAAGTTAAATAAAAGAGAGAAACAATTTTTTTCTTAAATCTTGGCAACATTAAAAATATGTAAATAATTTCTTTTTTTAATTCCACATTCTAATAAAATTCTACAGAATTGAGTACAATAAAATACATATTGAAAATAATAAGTAAACTAACAGTTAGTTCAAGATTATAGTTAGTATAGGTGCCTATCCCAGAAAGGAGGAATTCGGGCGAAAGGGTAGAAATGGTATACAATAGAGCAATGTGCACCCATGTTAGCAACAAACATGATTCATATAAATTAGGTAGTAAAAAAAAGATTTGAGAAAAAAAAAGCAGAATTTATTTACGTTATCAGTAAAGCAAAGATTATCAAAAAGTGTCAAATTAACTAGAAAATGTTAGTTTTAAAGAAGTATTTTGTTACAGGAATATGGGTGTAGAGGGTCGCAATTTGACAAGGGTTTAAGAGAAGTGTTTTGTGTGTGTGTGGGGGGGGGAGGGGTTAATGTAAATCATATGGATTACTATTACCGGTACTGAAAACAACTTTTTATTAATACAGAAATATCTGATATTTGTTTTGAAGAGGGGAGGTGGCAAAAAAAGCGGCACCTAGATTGTAAAGGTTTCTGTACAGTAGAATAGTTCTGTTCGATCCCTGCATTGGCCGAGAAAGTTCATCCAGATTTTCCGGCGTGGTTCTCCCTTGTCAGTGATGCAGGACGGAGGGCCTGACAAGGACAGCTGTCTAGTCAATCGGATGTAACAAAAAACCGAGGTCCCGTGTACACATCGGCGTGCACGTAAAAGATCCCTTGACAGTTGGAATTCGATATAAGGGTAGGCCGTAGTGCCGCTGTCCGGGCAAAATGTCCCTCATAGCACACCATATGGCGTATGCCCGTCTTCATTAGCCCAGTTCGGAGCACAACAGTAGGACGTTAAACCCCATTTCATTTCTGTTTCAGGTGTTAATTGAAATTTTAAAAGTTTTATATACTTGTTTAATGAGTTTCAATACTTTATTTTGAAGTAAGTTTTCATATAAAAAATATGTCATAAACAAAGGCATGTGACCATACCATTATTTAGGATGCTTTTCCCTGCAAAACTAATGACAAATCCATTAGTGTGACTCAGTCCTTACTGTGAAATACCATAGCCCCCAACACTAACAATATCCATGACTGATTTTAGTCCATGAAATATAAAAAACCAACAACAGTGACATTATATTAAACTTCAGGTAATTTATTAAATGATCAAATATCACAGGTGTCTGCAGGTGACAGAAATAAGTCTCGCGTTTCAATTTTATCATTATGGAGGGATTTTCTCCCAAATCTCAATATTCTTAATTTGTTACTGTTTGTCTATGAGTTGACAAGAAAACAATGGGTTGTTATTTTGTTTCTTTCTAGATTTCATGATAAACTCGCAACTCTACATGTCACTTTGCTTATTGTATACTAGTTTTATATATATATATATACACACAGTATCATGTCCTACATCAAGGGCAGTAATCAGATTACTAAACTGCCTAGATTGTGTGAAATAAAATAGTTTAAGTCATACCTTCAAGAATTCAAAGTATTTTTAAAATCAACGCTTCTTTTGTAATGTCTTTTATAACATATATTTATTTTTAATCTTAATGGCAATGTAAAAATTGTATTTTCCATAATTGTAAAATTTGAAATATCTATAGCATGATTCAGATTTATAATAACTGGAAGTTCAAAGTTACCGTAAGTAACTTAGAGATATCCCTAGCTACTTAATATACAGTTGTTACATCTTCGACTATACGTTGTTAAGAACGAAATGAAATGAAATGGAGTTTAGTGTGCTACTTTTCTTCATCAACCGGGCTAATGCTAATGCATACAGTGTGTTGTGGAAGCAAATTTTGCCTGGACAACGGCATTTACACTTACTTCTCATAAATTCCAACTGTCAGTGGTTCTTTTACGTGTACACCAACATGTATACAGGGACTAGTTTTTCATCCCATCCAAATGACTACATACTGTTCATATCCACGTCCATTCAACCCAATCTAGGTTATTTCAGGACTATCAAAAAGGCTATTTCTTTATTTCAACAATTAATTTTCTCTCAAAGTTACGCAGGCAACCCTTGTACTGCTTGTCACATACAAGCTTGGGTTTTGAAACCATGACATTTGCATCCATGATAAACCTTATTTTGTAATTCGCACTTGTTAGACTACTTGGCCATCCAATTTCCCAAAGAGAGTGTTTAATCTCCACTCAACACAAACTAGGTTATTTTGGGATTAACATATGGTACAATTTTATTTCAATAATCTCCCAGGTTCTTTAGGATGCGAAAGAAACTAAAGGACCAGAGAAAATGAACAACGGTATGCAGGTAACCTTACTCCTTCTCACATACAAGCTTGGGAATTTAAATCATGCTACTACACTTAAAGATGCATTATGTAAGATTTAGATAAAGAGCAGACCGTTCTTGCTATAATAATAGTTCAAAAGTAGATATGAAAAATGAATATATTGAAAATATCATTCAAATTCCTCTTATTCTGAGCAAAGTTATGGGTGTTGGAAGATGTAGCTTAGATTGTTTATTATCATAGTGCCGGTACTGGAAAAAGAAGACTTAGCCTTGAATATCCATTTTATAGTTAAATTTTTAAAACTTGGGGTGTTCTAATTCATTTAAATATCTGCCATCCGATGCTCTAGAGAGTTAATTATGGGCCTGTCATGTTAATACATTGTAAAAGTCTAAATAATAGTATATATAACTATAACATTTAATGAAGCCAAATTAAAGAGGCAGATTTAGATATCACATTATGCATCTTTAATTACAGACTTTTCTTTATCTAAATAGACCACTCAGTCATCCAACTACCTAGTTACTTTGAGAATTTTTATTTATTTTGATAGATGTGTAGAAAGAAATTTTACTAAGATTCCAGTGTTTCCAAATTCTAACTGCGAAGGGATCTTTTATGTACACTATCAATTCATAAAAAGCATCGTGGTTTTTCACTTGATCTGTAACAATGTAGATGTGATTGCTGACAAGTAAGAACCAGATTTAAATAATCCAGAAGGTTCTACCTGGGCCCAAAAAAAGTGTGGGAAGTGTCAATCACATTTAAATGCAACTTTAGAAAGTGCAAACATATTATGTAACATGCATGATAGTAATACTTATATAATTCTACTATTTACTTGTGTTAAATATTTCAATAATCAGCCCACGCGACTCAGCTCAGAAATGTGTGGGAAGTGTCAATCACATTCAAATGCAACTTTAAAAAGTTCCAGCATATCCTGTAACATGCATGACACCTAATACTTATATAATTCTGCTATTTACTGGTGTTAAATATTGAATAACTTGATACTTTTGTCGTACTACAACGGAAACCAGTACTTTGAATACGTAGAGCCGAGGAGACATTTCCTATCGTTTTCAAATTAGTTACATGTCAATTGGAGTGATTAGCTACAATAATAGATATTCTATTGTCTAAGTTTAAATTACCAGAAGGAAACAATCGCCTCATATTACGACAAAACATTGCAGATCTCATTAAATGGTTTAAATTTAATGGTTTAATTATAAACAAATGAAATGAAATGGTGTTTAATGGCCTACTTTATTTTGCACAGTCATACACCAAGCAGTGTGCTACAATGAGGGAAATTTTGCCCAGACAGCAGTGTTTGTTCCTACCCTTCATTGAAATCCAACTGCTAAGGATTATTTTACATGTACGTGAACATATACACAGGACCCCAGTTTTTATGTACTATCAGAACAAGTAGACACTGTTCCTTGCAAGGTCCACCTATCCATAGGCGTACGGGTAAATTTTTAACTGGGGGGGGTGGTGGTGGTTGGTGCCCAAAAAATGTAGTTAGGTTCTCAGTATGTTACATAATAATAATAAATTCGCTGTTAAATTGGACACATTCAAGAACACAATATTTTTTTTATACAACTTTTACAAAGTACAATTGTGTGCCCAAATTTTCCCAGCATTTAGTGCCCAAAATGGGGGGGGGGGGCGGCCGCCTCCCCAGACCCCCCAGCTCGTACGCCTATGCACCTATCCTACAGACCTACACCACTGACAAAACTGACCACGATTGAAAATCTCAAGGAACTTTCTAGGTCAACACCGGGATCAAACCTGGGACCACCTCACCGTCATATGATGGATTTTATACAGTTAATCTATCGAAACAACTGCCTTATCTCATAAAGCCCTATTTTATATAGTTAACCTATCCAAACAGCCCTATTTTATAAAGTTAACCTATTCAAACAAAAGTCCTATTTTATAAACTTAACCTATCCAAACTACAGCCCTATTTTATAAAACTTGACCTACCCAAACTACAGCCATTTTTATATACTGAACCTACCCAAACTACAGCCCTCTAGTTGGCCGGTCACCTCTGGCTTGCGGCTGTGGTTTCGATCCCAGGTGTGAGCGTATGTGGCTTCTCAACCTCGTGGGTTTACTCCGGGTACTCCGGTTTCCTCCCACAGCAAAGACCCCTACGCGTGCGCTAAGATCATTAAAAAATGAACTTGTCTGCGATATCACCTTCGGTGGAAGCGGACGTTAAACGCTAAGAACAACAACTACAGCCCTTGTTTATAAACTTAACCTACCAAAACTAAAGCCCTATTTAATAAACTTAACCTATCCAAACAGCAGCCCTATTTTTGCCTTATCTTATAAAGCCCTATTTGAATATATAGTTAAAACCAATCCAAACAACAGCCCTATTTATGCGATTATATACCTTTAACTTTGAAGACATAAAATGAAAAAAAATATTGCAATGTTAAAAATTCAAAAATGAGAAAGGAATATTTGTTTTTAAAAAATTATGAACAGTTTCCAAAACAAATATGATATTGTTTATTTTAACAGTTATTTTGATCTGAATATTGCATCTTGGGTCTTGAAAAATCTGCGTACCTTTGAACCATGACACTATAGTAATGCATCAGATTTATCATAACTGAGACTCTGATAGTCAAGATAGCGCAATCTTTTCTTAAAACAGATTCTAGTAATCCATCATCAGAACAAAAAAAAATTCTATGATTTATGATTCACTTTAGTTAAATAGTCTGATGCACTTAGTTTAAAAACTTCAAAATGTCAAATCTTTCTGATTGCTCTCAGCTCTTTCGCTGTTATAAATGGTCTGCGTGGCAAAAGGTTAACATCCTTTCTGTGTTCAATTTGAATCTTGACTTGTGTAAATAAAAATAAATTCTTTTACATGTTTGAATGCATAATTATCTTAAATGAAATGAAATGAAATGGGGTTTTAACGTCCTACTGTTCTGCTCCTATACTGGGCTAATGAAGACGGGCATACGCCATACAGTGTGCTATGAGGGAAATTTTGCCCGGGCAGCGGCACTATCGCCTACTCTTATATCGAATTCCAACTGCCAGGGGATCTTTTACGTGCATTCCAATATCTACACGGGACCTCGGTTTTTCATATCATCCGAAGGACTAGACAGCTGTCCTTGTCAAGCCCTCCATCATGCATCACTGACAAGGGGAAACCACGCCAGAAAATCTGGATGAACTTTCTTGGCCAATGCAGGGATCGAACACCCGACTTCCAGGCTAGCTAGCCAGCGTCTTACCCACTTAACCATGTGATCCGCATAATTATCTTAAAGCCACTGATTATCTTTTGCATTTTTTGGACAATAACTAATTTTTCTTCGGTTTAATCCAGATTGATTATGTATCAATTCATTAAGAAATCAATACCATAATATCAATGGTAGATCCTCTTCGGGCTTAGATTCACTAGGAAACCCATCAAAAGATAGGTGGCGCTGGCTTGTTAATATCGTCTGCTGAGAATGACGAATATTGCAACACTATTTCTGACTTAAACCATTTTTTTGTGTGAGTGGGATAGGAATTGCCTTTCTAAGACCTTTTCCCAGCATGCACACATGTATACATACAATAAATGCCCCATGTGGTGAGAGTAATCTTAGGATTGTATGTACACTAGTATATCAAAGTTAAGACGTAAAGGTGGTCCCCTTATCTACTTCGTGTCTACGTAAAAGTATCAATCGAGAAAAAATAACCATGGGATAAAAAAAATGTATAAATCGAGATAGTATTTTCTATTTCTTGATTCTGTGTCTCCGCCTGAATATATTTAGATCTAACATATTGTATTAAAACATAGAAGATTATTAATAGCTTCAAGTAGTATTTACATTCTGATATGTGAAATGTTATGTAAATTATAAAGCTAGGTGAAATAAAGGACATTATTTTTTTTCTCTGCAAAAATAAATATTTTACATTACATTTAGCTAACATGATCGTTCAAAGCACACAAAGGGAGAAAAAGAAAGAAAAATTGGGTTTAATGTCCTCTCTTAAATGTCTTTATTTCCATAAATTGCTTGTAGGATGATACCCAGATTACAAAGAGGATAGGTAAATGACCCTACTACTGGTGAAAGCTTGCGATCAAAACCACCACACTTGACTGAATGACAGGTCTGTAGATCTTTCGGCCACCCAACTCCCCACAATCTAACTATAATAACCATTTTTCTTTTATCCAACTTCAATCTTGGAAGTAAGTGCATTGAGGAAAGAGTGGTCAGCTCTGGTGTTCTATTTCTATTTAAATAAGGAACAAAAAAACTAATTCCAACTTTAAGTTTAAAAGTATTTACTGTACCCAAATGGCTTTACATTTATTTATGTTTGTTGAGTCATGAGTTATTTTAAGAATTTAAAAATTAAATTTGTTCATTTTATTCAGAAATGACATATTAATTATTATAGTTGTTATGTGAGAAATGGAAGAATGGAGAGGTTAGATGGATGACATAATGGAAGGAGTGTTGCAGGAATGACAGAAACATACCTTGATTTCCTTTCCACAACAATTGCAGCCAAGGCAGCAGTGAGGGTTGGTAGAAATGCACTAGTGACATGATAGAAACGGCCAAATAGTTTCCTAAAGATAAGAAATAAAAGATATGTAGAAAATTAAACCCAAAAAAATTGTTGGATAATTTGAAGTTTGGCCTACTTGGTCCCCTTTTTAAACATGATCAGTTAAAGCCCAATTTTACAGACGGAAATGCTCAGTCATCAGCATCCAAAAACTATATCAAATTCGTCTCCAAAGAAACACCAGAATTATTAAATCCAAAAAGGTTCTAAATAACTACCACAAAAGGTTCATGTTTGTACAAAGTATTATTTTGATATCATGAATGGTTTATACTTCACAATCAAAATAAGGGCAGACTTCAGCAAATTTCACTAAAAATTAGTCTTTCCAAATAAATAATTGTTCTAAAAATGATTAAAATCGATCAATCCTATAACCTAACGAAATTATTTCATAATTTATTTGACCAATTCTAAATTTAAAAGATAATATTATAGCCCATGTGATTATTTGCCTACAAATGAATTTCTTACATCATGTACCGTGTACAAAATTGGGTCCGGATTTCTACCAACCCCCAGCTGTTTACTGCTTGCTCCTTTTAGAACACCTGATACCACTTTAAAATTGAGAAATATCTTTGAAGGGAAAATTTGGAAGCAAAACTGATGCCAAGCTGATCAAGGTTAAGAAAGGGTCCAAGATTTTACTTCTAGATTGTGGAAATTTCTAGAAACCAAACACCATGTAGCAAAAATACAACAAGAGACAGTCCAATAGTTACTCATGATGTATCAGTCTAAATTCATATACATTTTAAAATAAAGAATTGTGACCGATGCACATGGTTACGGTGTTCAGACCAATACGACCACATTCTACAAATCAGATTCAGAACATTGACAGAGTGCCAGTTGATCTTTTATGAAGAACAATATCATACAGGTAAAAAAGGACAATTTAAGACTAATTCAATCGAATTTACTGATCATTTTTTTTTTTAAACCTGAATGTATATTGATGGTTATCTTTTGAATTAGAAGACTGAGTGTCTAGGATTATGCACTGAACGTGCAGTGTACATACTGTGTAGAATGTGATCACATTGTATATTGTTAGTGGTAGGGATAGATCACAAACATCAAATTTTATACTCTTAAATATGGAGTTTTAAGATATAAAATCAGATGATTATATTACAAGCAACAAACACATAAAAATTGAACAAACTGATGAAATCAAGAATTTAAATATTTCAATACCGTGAAATAATGTTCATTTACTTTAACAAGAATTAGGTCAACCCAAGTTATTGTCAGCTTCCATTATCTTTAACAGACTTCAACTACAAATATTTTGTATGTTCTGTAGCCTTTTTTTCTGCACCAATTGGGCTAACGAAGACAGACATGTTATGCAGTATATTATGAGGTAAATTTTGCTAGACAGTGGTGCTATGCCCTACTCTTCCTTACATGCAAAAGTCAGGGGATTTTGAACACGCTGCCAACATGGGACCTCGTTTTTGGGTTTTTTTTTCATCTCATCCAAACAGCTTTTCCTTGCCAGGTCTTCCCCGACCAGCACCACTTACAATGGGGAAATCAGGCTGTAAAATCCTGTTGAACTCTCATTTATGGAAGAATAAATAAAACTGATTTACCGATGCCAAAATTCCATTTCTCATGAAATGAATCATTGCATTCACCATATATAAAAATATCATTTTCTTGAATTCATTAGTTAATCTATCACCATTAAAATAAATCCGTCAAAAACTACCTTTTTTTACTCTCAATGAGAATTGATAGAAAACAAACGGGAATACCACACACAAAGCAATTGTAAAAAAAATATGAACCCATAATCTTTCTGAAATAAAAATCATCACAACAAAAGATGCATGAATATCTTTCAAAAAGGCACCATATAGTAAAACCCACTATTTAGCTTTTCACTTAATAAAAACCACTGTAGCTTTTTAGAGTAAAAGCCAATATTTAGCTTTTAATCTAACTTTTTACAGTAAAATACACTTTGAGGTTGATAAATATTGCAGCAATCCCATTCATAATTTATTTTTGCTGTGTTTTTGCTAGCCCAAGGGCAATCGCTCTGAAAATAATTCATGAATTATACTCAAAGAGATCTCATGGATATAACTAGGGCAATGTAACATGTTTCATAAAAAAATCGGATGAACAATATCGAGTATATGAGAGGATGGACAGGGGGTGATGACAGTACGTACATCAAGTCTGGAAATAAGTCACCAGCAGCCATTTCGCATTCAATAAAATAAATTTCAAATAAAATATCTACCAGCAAGACCTTTCTCTCCTTTGTTAACAACATGTTCAGATTGCATGTGCTGCAGATCAACGATCTGTTATGAATATATGGGTTTTTATCTCAATTTGGTTTAACTTTTCAACAGGTGCCCTTTACTTATAAAATCTGTGTGAAGTTAAATGAAATGGCATTATATCATACATTTCTGCACCAACCTGCCTAAGAAGACCGGCATACACCATGCGTTACGGTATGAGGGAAATTACCACGGACAGCAGTGTTTCCACCTAATCTTTATCGAATTCCAACTGTCAAAGGTTCTTTTATGTGCACACCATATATTACACGGTACAATGTACCTTAGGGTTCTTTTTAACCATCCAAACTACTAGACAAATTTCATTGCAATTTATAAAAGTATAATAGAAAAAGTAACAAATTCAACTTTCGAAGTTTAAAGTGGCAATAAATCTATACAAGCCAGAATAATTTGTCTCTATTAATCAGATTTTAATTTAATCTTACTTATTGTTGAATATAAATATTAATTTAGGAATTCTAACGCTTTAGTATCACATGCTTGCAATATTCTTTAATAATGCCCATTGTTTATACTAGGTTCCTTATTGAGTCCACGATCTGGTGCGTTCGGATACGTTTCGATACAATCAACACGATTGCTACGACTTCAGGGAAAAAGAAAGACATGCAATACGTAGATTTAGCTCTTGCATAATGTATGTTTAAGAAGAAGATTTTTCAAACATTGTATTTGAGAAATGTTGTGGTTTGCATGATTTGTAGATGACCATAATATAGTATGCTTTAACTTCATACTAAAATTGAACGACATTGGTTTTCACGAATTTATAACAATATTGATACTTGAAAGGATTTTGAGCTGATCAAAAATACAAATATCCACAGGATATTTTTCATATTTTTCAGTTTCAAACCATTTTGTTAGATATTTTTATATACTCGGATCAGCTTGATAATGTAATGGTTACATTACATTAAAATGGTAGATGTTACTGACTTTTGAAGTATGTAAATGATCTAGATTGTACCTTTCAAAAGGAAAAAGATGTAATGTACAAATTAAAAGATATATTTATAGACATATTTTGTTATTGATCTTATATCACAATATGTTACTCTGATATGTAATATTATTTCATTTTTTATGTTAAAACAACAATGTTTATATATACATGTAGCTTCCTCTTTTATCACAGATCATAGAATTAAAATAAGGAAATCAATATTATTTATAAAGTGTGAAATTGTTAACGCATAATCTAACATAGTTTTAGTGTCCCTATATTGAAAACAATAGTTATTTTTAAGACATTTTATCGACTTATTTCACATTCATAATATGTACATGTACTTTGCTTTTTTAAGATGGTGTTATTTTTTTTGTGAATACATTTCTGATTTTGTTTGGATCATCATTTGTTGTAAAACTCTTAATTGTTAATCTTTAAGTGGCATTTAACACTGTAACCCAGGTATCATTTAATCTTGTGTATCTAGCACTAATTTCTTTCACATTCGTTTAATATCCAGTCTTTGTTTAAAAATTCATAAAAACTGTTTAAAATCACCATAAATCGTTTAATTTGTACTTCTGGGCACTCATTATCAAAATTAATCAGTCAGCTTTAAACTGGACACAATTACAAATTAGAGGATTTTTGGTGATTTTAATCAATTTTTAAACAAAGATTTGATATTAAACGAATGTGAAAGAAATTAGTGCTAGATACACAAGATTAAATGATACCTGGGTTACAGTGTAATAACTGGATAGAGTAAAAACAAAAACAAATACTTATGGAAAACAACTACTAGGATATTCAAGGCTGTGAATATATTCCTGATTTTGCTTGGATGTCATCATTTTTTGTTTAATACGCTTTCTTTGTTGTGATATTATTTTAGCTCTTGTCTTTTATTTAATTACGCCTGGCAAGAAACAGTGTCTAGTCGTTTGAATGGGACAAAAAAAAAACCAACAACATTCTGATTACATGTAAAAAAACCTTTGAGAGTTGGAATTCAAAATAAGAACAGAAATTCAATTTGGTGAGGCCTCAGATATACTGATTCATAGTCATACACAACAAGAGACTTGTTCCCTGCACGGGAGCCGCGATGGCGCAGTAAGTAAGACGCTGGCTCTCTAAACAGGAGGTCTCGGGTTTGCTCTGAGTGTTGGCCGAGAAAGGTTCTGAGGAATTTCTGGTGTGGTTCCCCCTTGTCAGAAATGCAGGACGGGGGGCCTGGTAAAGACAGTGTCTAGTCATTAGGATGGGATGACAAACCGAGGTCCTGTGTACTCATTGGCGTGCACATAAATGAAAACTTGACAGTTGGAATTTGAAATCGGAGTAGGCCATAGTGCTGCTGTCAGGTAAAATGTCCCTCACTGGCCAAGTTGGTGCGGAAGAGTAGGATGTTAAACCCCATTTCATTTGTTCCCTGCACTGTGTTGCCTTTTATGTACTGGAAGTGGTGGTTCTCTAATTTAGATTTAGAATAATATGATATATTGTTGTTTTTTTGTGACAATAAGCAGGTGTAATTTATATTATTCATATTTAATTTGTTTATGAAATCCTTAATACCTCCTTAAAGGAACTAAATCTCTATTCTTTGGCACCTAGAAATGGACACAAATGGGTCGCAATGCATATAATAATGTAATATGAATGTATATAAACTGATTTATTTTCAATCATTTCTGTTCTTACTGTAATTTCTAATCAGTTATGTTCGGCAAAATACTCACAGAGTCCAAACTGAATGGCAGTCTTTGGCGTTTGGGGTAGTATTCTCCTGTGGAATATGTTTTGCATGCAAATCGTGTGCTAATTTTAAAATGTTAATTTTGTCTCAAATATTGCATATCAGAAGGACATCTTTTCACAATAAAATAACAACATCAATGTTGATTTAAATTAACCAATAGGATGTGTTTGTTTGCAATATCAGAGACTGTGTATGATATTTAGCTAGAGACTTGCCTTCTTTAAGTTAAAGATATTTTTCTAGAACACTTTCAAAAATCAATGATCATATGATCCAGTACAGTTTTATTGATTGGTCGATTGTTGACACATGTGGAGAAAATGTTCTTATAATATAAATTCTTTCTTAACATTATCATTTTTCACCTCCACCAATCAATTTCAAGTATTTTGTTATTCATAATTCTATCATTATAAACAGCTTTAATACTATAGTGCAGAGTTTTTATAATTTTCTAAGGAGGCGTTGTTCATTTGAAAAAGAAGGAGGAGTTGTTCATTTGAAAAATAAGTTGAAAAACTTTAATGAATTTACAGCCTCAACATTATATTTATATATATACATGTACAATGTATGTAAGATGACCTGTGCTTTCAAATATATAAAAGCTAAAGTTCAAATTATTCAGGCCATTTCGAGATTAACATTTGGTATATTTTCATTTCAATAATAGGTAATTCTCTTGTGCATAGGTACCCCCAAATAATTTAATTTACCAAAAAAGTCCATGAGGTTAGGCAATTGATTCTACTCCTATGTACAATCATAGGCCAGGAACATTCAACTGCCATTATAGTAATACATACATACAATCTGATAAAACACAGATCCTATTTCGTTTCATTTTTTATAGTTCAAAATTTCGTTTTACTTGTCTGTACTACACTAGGTTCTGGAAGAGTTGTTATGATTGATATGTTTTGGATGATGTTAAGGATTAGCCAATGAAACGGTTTATTATGGCAAGCTTTTAGCCTGAGGTGCACGGAACTGTGGGTAATCCACTAGAAACATTAATGCTGATTGGTTTATCAAATGTCTGACACCATAGGGTCAAAAGCTGCTCGTATGACCTCTGATGCAACCTCCCAAAACAACTGGTCAGATCATCATGTAGTGTAGGCCATCGAAAGTATAAAAAACGAAACGAAATACTGATCTGTATTTTAATCAGATTGACATACATACAGTGAGGTCCTATGATTTACAGTGCAACAGAAAACAATGTGCATTAAAAAATGAAATACCAAAGTTATTTTAATAATTCATATTCTGCACAATTTGTCTAATAGTAATACACCAGAATATATGGTATATAAAGACTTTCCAGTTTAATCGGACATATCATGGAAGGAGAGAAAGGTCTACTACAATAGAACAATCGAGGAAGAGAATTATGATGCTTCCATACCAAAACTTTATGAAGTCTTAATTACAGTACGCTGCATGTGAGTTTACATACATTATATCTTTTATTGTACCATCATTTGTGATGTTCCTCATTAAAGTCTCTGTACGACATTTGAAGGAATATTAATCCTTGCAAACTACAATGGTGCAATATATAGGATATAGTCAAAACAAGCCAGCATCATCACTGAGTTTTGCCTAAATCTTTTGATGGGCCTCCTTTTAATCTGACTGAATCCAAGCCGGGGGATTTTGATTAATATTTCTTCTTATTGAAATGTTAAATAATCAATTTGAGTACAATTTAGTGTGGATTCATCAACGAAAAAACAATATTTTCCAAAAAATGCAAATGCTGCACAGAGACTTTAATTTTTGAAAGCCAGTAAATATTAACATATGATTAGATTTCTCAGCAATATTTTTCATAAGTCAGACAGTCATTGACTACCAAACAAGAGCCCTTAGTCTGTCACACATGAAAATTATCTAAACAAAGCTCCATAACTCCATATACATACCTCCACAGACAAAAACTAGCAACAAACATGAGGCCATTTATTGTTAGGAAGATGGAAGATCGTAGAGTTTCAGGAATGAATTTCTTTAAATAATAGTCTTTTCCTTTTTTCTTTATAATTGCAGCAATCTGAAATTATAATATTGTTATATCTATAATAAAAGGCATTTAGTGAAAGCATTATATATAGACAACTTTATGAATATCATTCACAAAGTTTATTAACTGCAACGTTTCAATGAGGATACTTGGTGGATATCATTCACCAAGTTTATTAATTGCAACATTTCAATGAGGATATTCTCCCCATCATCAAGCATTGAAATGTTGCAGTCCATGATATCCATAAAGTTGTTTGTATTATATAATATTGTTTATGAATATAATGAGGATGTATTTATTTTAGCATACATGTATCATCTCCAGGAATTTCATCCACAAAAGTAATGATACACTACAATCCAAACAACATGAAGATGTCACCATGATAAAAATCGTCCTTCCGTTTCTTAGACACTTTCTGGAATAACCTAATTCAAGTTTCGTTATCGTTCTGATTTTCTACACATCATAAGATCCAACATATTATAGTCACAACTGCTGGTCGTGTAAGTTGATGTTAAATCCCATATTTTCAATTCTATTGGCATGCCAATATGTACACAAATGAACCTCAGGTTTTCATCCTATTCGAATGGTAAGGCAACACTTTATATTATCATCCCTACATGTTCTACCTGTAAGGTTCTTCTAGCCCCATAATAAAGTGAATATTTTATAGCGCTATTCTATACTGTCTGTATGATTATAGCGAATTTACTGAGATTTGAACCCGTGAAATTCTGGTTGGGAGTCCAGTGCCCTTACCTCTCAATTACTGGAGGTTCTGGCCCTACAGGTTATGATGTTATATAATTCTTATTAAAAGAAAGCTCTTCGCCTCTCTATTTAGGGAAATCTGAATTCTGTGGAGACACCTCCAAAGAGTCTTTAGAATGACATTTCTTAAAGTCTGTGAACATCATTTGAAGGATTATTAATTCCTTGCAAACTACAATATTGTGAAAACCCCAAAACTGTTCAATTCCATATTTTCAAAGGTACATGTATGATGAATTCAATTGATAATTTGTCAACATGCAGCATGGCATGGCATGGCAGTCATTTGAACGAAAAATTGTCAATAAATGGATACGGTAGGGTATGGGATTTTTAATTGATAATTTAAGGGCTTGGCCGCTTGACCCATTTTTGTTTTGGTTTTTTTAATATATCATTTACTGAATGTTAAACTAGGTTCTGTATTTTTGGTTTGCTCTACTGGTAATTTATGAAGATACAGTGCAGGAAATGTTTTGTGGAATAAAATGAAATGGGGATTAATGTCTGGGCTAATAAACTAAGACGATGGTCTACTATTGTTTTGGATTCAGGATTTAATTCGTGGGTTAGATGCTGTTCATAGTCCATCATTCCTGTACCACTGATATGGATAATGTAAATGAAAAGAAATGGGGTTCAACATCCTACATTTCTAATCCATCGGGCTAACGAAGGAAGGAAACCAGACAGGAAATTCCTGAGGATCTGAATGATAACAAAACTTTGAGTCAAGACAAACATTATCATTTTTAGTGTTACCATACCATTTATAACACTCCCCTGGTCATACGAGGCACAGGTTTAGACATTTTGGACTAGGGCCAGTAGGGGCTATAGGAGGGCATTCCAGTTGGAGGCACTTGTCCGACATGTAGATTGAAACGGGGCCCGATTGAAACTAGGACTCTCCAAATTTTTAATATCCAATCATACATTAGTTCAGCTCTGAACGTAGGTCTCAGTACACTCACCCTGTACGTTCACAGACTCTTCTATTGAATCCTTGTCGAAACTAAAATCGGCCCCAGTCAATTTTACTGGGCAACTTTTTACTGCTCAACGGTCGCATTTCAGTCCCTGTGAGCGCCTAAACAATGTAACTGAACATCTTAGTGAGAAAATAAGACCTTGCTTACCTCGCTAGAACCAGTATGAGCGACACAACACACTATTAAAAAAATACGTCCCACTCTTCTTACGGCCTTCACTGACTTCATTGAAAGGGTAATGCACAAATTTACGAACTCGGCCATATAAGATAAAACGAAATTTAGGTAAGCCTGGGAGAAAAAGATTGAAATCTTTGTAAAGTTGAGAATCTTCAGTCATTTATTGCTTTGCCAAGCCTAATTACAATAATTTAAATTCAACTTTACAAAGATTTCAATTTTTGCTCCCAGGCTTACCTAAATTTCATTTTATCTTATGGCCGAGTTCATAAATTTGTGCGTTACCCTTTCAATGAAGTCAGTGAAGGCCGTAAGAAGAGTGGGACGTATTTTTTAACAGCGTGTTGTGTCGCTCATACTGGTTCTAGCGAGGTTAGCAAGGTCTTATTTTCTTACATTGTTCAGGCGCTCACAAGAACTGACACGTGACCGTTTAGCAGTAAAAAGTTGCCCAGTAAAATTGACTGGGGACAATTTTAGTTTTAACAAGGATTCAATACTAAGAGTCCCTGAATGTACAGGGTGAGTGTAATGAGACCTACGTTCACAGCTGTACTAATCATACATGTACATTTATGAATACTGTTTCCCATTTCACTATAAAAGTTCCGCAACTGGGACACTGTGATAAGGCACAATTATTTGTTTACATAATAAAAAAAAACACGAAAAACTTAGTTTATGACTGTCACTGTGGGTCAATTTTGTTGAAAACATGGGAGTTTTTCACCAAACTCACCAAATATAATGATCCATATATTTTCAAAGATTCTCGAAACACTGCCTTGCCAACATTCACCGATGCTGAGAAACAATGTGGATCCCAGGTATGCCCCATTTCGTAGCAAGAATAGTTCAAAGTTTTCAGTTTACTAAACACAGCCATGTTGACATTTAGCGGAAGTTACGGAAACTTTCGGAATATTAGCCAATCATAGAACAGCAAGCAATTACAGCCCGAACCCATCATTGTAAAGTAAACAACAACAGCAGCACGTGGTTTAAAGTCCAGCCAGACAGGTAGGAATCAACATGTAATAATAATACATCCCTGGATAAATAATTATTATAAAGAACTCCTCATTGGATATTCATAGATTTTGATTTGTCTAGACATCAGATTCTCCTTTTAGCACTTGCACACCTCCTCTTGTTTTGATAGTTCGTTGCCAACGAGGGACTTGGACATTCTCCTAACGCATGTATGTCTTTAAACGGTCACACAGATTATAATGTATTACAATAAGATAAACCGCGTGTCAAACGCAAGTAAAACTGGCTATTCTAATAATTATTACTAAATATTGATTTACTTGGGCATTTCACCGTGCTTAGGTGGTAATTTATTGATAAATTTCTGCCCTGTTCTGCAATAAATAATTAACGAAAAAGCGTGTGTTTTTTTTTTCTTTGTTGTTTTTTTTTCCGTAATTTTTGTTATTTCTTTTATTTGTTTTTAAGATGTTAATCAATGACTGAATGTGGATTGTTCATGCATAGTAATAATTAACTCAAAATTAATTATTTTTTCCTTCCCAATTCTCATGAAAAATTAAAATCTTGAGGGAAAAAACTAGTATACGAATTAATTAGTTTATTAAAATCTTCAGTCTTATTGATCAATGTAAAAAAAAAATGGACACGATGCTAATAGCAGAACTCCCGAAGTGCGATATTCAGCAAAATATCAAGAATTTCTAATTCAGCCGGACTGGGGTCAAAATTATATACCACGTGTGTTCTAACGCGATAGTTTTCATGGTTTTTATCGTATAGTTGTTACGTTGCTTCAGTGCAGTTTACAATACTTAGTACCATTAGACGTTTCCAGGATACGGTCGTTCAAATGCGGACCAATAGGTTGTGTGAGGGAGCTCTTCTACCTTCACATATAAAATGTAAGGGCCATTTTTTTATCAGCTCGTGTTCATATTGAATCAGTTTTACATTTAGGTATATGTAAAGTTTTCTATCATATGGAATAAACTGGTGACAAATTAGTTTGCTATCAGAGTTGGTATAAATTTCGAATGTGGAAAAAATGAAACCCTCTTGAGGGATTTTAAAAAAAGATAGGTATATTGGTAATAAGTCAACTTAATACTGTAATTTGCAAAGATCTGGTGGTATACACATGAAGAATTCTGGGCATTAGAAAAAACCAGTTCGTCTACGCCTACAATCCCGTGGTTTCCAGAGAGCTTCGCCAAGTTGCGACCGTGAACGGCTCATTTCAATAACAAACGATCTGTCCACTGAAACGAAAAGTAAATTAATGTCTTACTGTTCTGTACCGATAGGGCTAATGACAATCTGATTAAAATACAGATCTATATTTCGTTTCGTTTTTTTATACTTTCGATGGCCTACACTACATGAAGATCTGACAAGTTATAGCGATGGGTCACGTCAGGGGTCAAAAGATCGACTTATGACCCTATGACGTCAGACATTTGATTAACCAATCAGCATTGATGTTACTTGTGGATTACCCACAGTTCCGTGAAAAACACGCCTAAAGCTCGCCGTAACAGACCGTTTCATTGGCTTATACCTGACACCATTCAGAACACGAGTTAAATAACAACTCTTCCAGATCCAAGTGTAGTAAAGACAAGTAAAACGAAATTTTGAACTATAAAAACGAAACGAAATAGGATCTGTGTTTTAACCAGATTGGGCTAATGAAGACGGACATACACTATACAGTGTACTCTGCGGGGAATTTTGCACGCACAGTTAATTCCAATTGTCAATGGGATTTTCGTCCTATCCGAAAGACTATACACTGTCCTTTGTCAGATCCACGGTCTGCACCACTGACAAGGTGAACTAAGCCTAGAAAATCCCTTTTAACTTTTTCGGCCAACTGCAGGATTGAACACCAGGTTAGTAGGTCAATGTCTTACTCACCAAATCACCGCGACGTCCCACAAGACGAGAAGAGGAAGAGAAAAAGAAGACAACACGCGAAGATTAGACACTGTATTGTGCTAGCACAAAGGGGCAAAAACTTTCTTTATTGTGAAACTAAGTACCGTGTACTGGAAATGCATTAATTACTGGTCTAATGCATATAAATATTTGAAATTTGAAGACAAAATTCATTTAAATTGTATGCCAAATATCTGAAGCACACCCATGAAGTCTATAGACTCCAACGGAAAGGAAAGGTTAAGATTTTGGATGGTAAATTGTAGGCGTACTCCTGTGTAAATAAATTGAACTGTATTGAGATATATATGGTTAACTGGTGTAGTAGAAGTGTAGGACATCTGGTCTATATAAATACAATAAGATATGGGATAAAAATGGGCGGTCCTGGGTCGGTCTTGGGTCACCATTAGACAACTAGATCGTGTTTCACACCAACAGAATTCACTTTTTTGTGGTCTATAGTAAATTCATCTTAACATTGTCAAGGTGGTGATGCATGCTAGTGGCGGCGCTGGGATTTTCCAGTAGAAGGGTGGGGTGGAGCGGAGTTATTCGCCTAGTTAACGTCCAAAATCCCGAGCGGAACTTCCAATTTAGAGCGTGTACAAGGAACACAAACACTGGATCAGAAAGGGAAAGTTGGCTCACAGAGCTTGGAAATGGCTAGCTTCGAGTGAAAAGTACATCCCTCAAAATAAATGTGCGGGTGTGGGGGTTTTGTGTGTTTTTGGGCAACGATCACTGGTTTATTATACACAGTCACAGCGTTTCGGAAGTGGTGTGCACACGGTTGGCTGGGGAAGGGGTAGGGAAGGGGCAGACAGGGAAGAACATCCGGGCATCCATTTCCGCGAGTGCACCCATCCAAGGCTGAAATTAAAATAAGTTTTTTGAAATCTCAAATTGTCACTGTTAACTTTGTTGAACAAACTGACAGGGGCGGATCCAAGGGGGCGGGGGGTCGACACTATACATATTTTTTTTGTAAATCAACACTTTTTATGAGAAAATTTCCTCGGCCGTGTGCTTTATCCTTTATCGCCAGATGTGGGACAGGATGGGCACTCAAAGCACGAGATAATGATATAAACATTATGTTATATCACAATTAATGCTTTGCATCCATGAAATTGAAGCACAATGTCATTGTATTAATTCCTAATAAAAATTGACGTCAAACGAGGTGCTGAATTTCTCTGTTTAAAAAGCTCAATGTGTATGTATATACGCCAAAATGACGATAGAGACCATGCGGGAGGAAGGGGGGGGGGGAGATACATTGTCTCAGGAACCTGGCAAACCCCCTCCTGCAAAAATTCCTGGATCCGCCCCTGAACTGCGCTACTTTATCTAAATAAAACTATTACTTAATTAGTTTGAAGATTACACAAAATATTGACAATAAGTTTATATGTTACGATTGTTTGATTTATTAAAAATATTGTCCAGTCCCAGCTGATGCCTCTTTAAATGCAAAAGTACGACAACAATTTGTCAGCAAAATATATTTAGATTATATAATGAGGAATGTTGGGTGGCTAGCTAAACCATTGACACACCTACCAATGTGACAGTTACCACAATAGGGTGGACACTTAAACATACATTATGCAAGAGCTAAATCTGCCTATTGCAGGTGTTTCTTTAGGTCTGAAATGTATTCTAAATTATTAATTAGACATTGATTAACTTATCCAGGCCATAATCAATTCTCGATGGCATCGGATTTCTCCGATATTAAATAGATTAGAACAGTTCAGCCATATTTTGATTTAAGCTAAAAATGGAGGAGCGAGACTTAGCTTCGAACAACCAGTACGGTGGTTTAAATTATTGCACACGTCTTGTCAAACCTTCAACAAAGGCTAATACTTTCGCTCGCAATAGAGTAATTTGAATGAAATTTTACATTATTCATTTTACATTATCTATTTTCGAACTATTATTGCAAAAATATCTTCGCTAGAAATAGAGTAATTTGAATGAAATTTTCAACTTATTCATTTTACATTATCTATTTTCGAACTATTTAGCAAAAATTGCTAGCTCTTTATCTAAATCTTACATAATGTATCTTTAATTCAAATAATGTCTCAACGTCAACAAAATGCTTCGGTCATTTTGGTAATCCGTTACTTAGGCCACATTTTCTCACTGATTCCTTTTTTATACCCGTTTCAATGGGGCAGGACGGAAAGTCTGACAAGGAACAACGTCTAGTCGTTTGGATGAGACGAAAAACCGAGGTCCCGTGTACAGGTTGCCATGCAAGTAAAAGAACCGTCGATAGATGCAGTTTGATAAAGAGAGGACGAAAACCCACTGCCCCGGCAAAATTCCTCTCATAGCACACTGTTATTTTATATGAAAGTGCTGCAACTGTAACAAACAGTGATGAAAAAGTTCAGAATACAACTCCCTGCGACTAATGCAACCTCAAAATAACCAATTTCAATTTGTATTAAAGAGCAGTTTTGTTTATCCTTTGTGATTCTTACATTCTGTTGTACGTTCAAAGACTGCTTCCAGCTTTAACAGAATCACTTTCACTGTAATGGGGGTAACGACCGCTACCACACAAAGTGTTGTCACAGACAATAATAACCGTGGACCGTTTACCTGTTAATATTTAATGTGTATTTAGTCGGTAAAACTTTACATGATATTGGTATGCACCACCACAAAAAAACAAAAGACCAATTATCCATCCACCAATTTTTCTGAAAGAAAAATGCATTGGTCAAACAGTGCCATATTTTTGGCAGGACAGCTTTGTTCGCATTTATTTTATGTTCTTTTACTAACAATCTGAAGATTGTTGGTTAAGAAAAAAGGAAGGATTAGGATGCATTGTCGCGCTCTGTCGCAGGTGTGCCCAGAGAGCTTGGCTAATATTGGTTCGTGTGTCACCTTTGCAAGGAAGAAGCCATTCAGAGGTCACCCATGAAAGGCTCACTTGATACGCCCTGTGTAGCAGAACTATTTATTATACTACCCATTTG